AACCACTTTCTTCCGTATGGTTATGACCACTCGTTGTCCAAGTTCACCCCGCAGTGATAACATCAGTTACCCAGAATATTTGGTTACATCTGATTCTGTTGATGCAGCAGCTATTACTCGTTTACGTGGTGTTAGCTTGCAAGAATTGGTGTGAGTACTTATATAGAGTATAGAAAAAGCAAAATTTATGGATTGACTTTGAGTCATATTGTACTGTATTTTAGACGTTAGCAGTACAACTCTTGATATAGCGCTTTTTGGGGAAACTTATTCACTTGAAACATTTTGGATGCAAATGATGATGTTTGGGAGTAAAGATTCATAAAACTGCCCCTAAGGTTTCGGGGCATTCTAAGTCAATAACTGATTTGGATGGCCAAGAAGGATGAAGATACCTCATCTCGACCAATGAATGTAACTCTGTACTAATTGAAAACGGTACCTGTAACTTTGAAGGTATTATGTATGAACAATATTTGAATGTCACATGGAATGTATTCGCATCCAGACAAACTGTACAATTTCAGGATGAAACATAATAAAAAAATCTTAACTTATCGTTTCGCTGATATTCTAACAGGAACAAAGATTCTTGAGGATCCCAGAGACTACTCAATCACAAATCCTCGGGTGGATAGCTTTTCTGGCCTTGTACATAAGGTCCAATGAGACAGGGAAATGAAGAGTATACGTGTTTGAAAATGAAAAGCGTCAACCACTTATCTGTGAATGTCACAAGATTTAACGACGAAACGGATAGGTTTTACGAACCTAAAAATTCAGTAATTCCTACCTGACAGGCATAACTGAAACGTGAGTATCTTTCAAAACTACGGGTTGAGAGCTGGGATTACATGATGTCTTTGTTTCTAATAGACAGGAAAATAGGAGTAAGAAGTGATGCTGCCAATTACGTGAGAGGCCAGTTCTCAGCTTGACGTCGACCATCAATAAGAATTCTTGCTGAATGACGCTTCAGTTATGAAAGCGCATACAGATGGCCCAAAACTCTACAAATACCTCAAGAGAAGACGAACACCAGTGCCAGATTAAGCTCATCGACAGATTCGCTCCCGATCATCAGAGTTTACTTAATAATGCGACTCCTTTAGACAAACCAAAAACCAAAACTTGTTGTTATTGGGTCCCAAAGTTGCAACCAATACGAAGGATGGTGTCACAGAGTCAGTGGCTAAACTGTATTTCGGGACATTCGAACGAAATCGCCTACTCTAGCACCACAGGAATCCCGAGAGTAAACCTTAAAAGTAGACCGGTCAATACGAACGACATCATCCAAACGAAGTTGTATCTCTTTGCGGGCATGGTCACTCCACCATATTGAACAAATTGGTCTTACTTTTATGAGCCCCTAGTTTGCTCTTCTGAACTAGGGAATGATCCCAGACAAGTGAAAGCTGACACCTGAAAATCTCCTATAGAAGGTAGGATAGAAAGCGCTTTACCGGCCGCCATGTGACTCTCATTCCATTACCCGTTACGAATACTATATCTCTGGTTTATGACAGCTTATGTGACCATCTGATATCTATAAATGTATTTTAAGCCTAATGGTATACTTTCATGATAGGTAGTACCCGTTTTGCGAACCCTCAAGGTGCAGAAGACATATCTGGACTATGAACATCCAACACACGATTGAGAGTTTATGTACAATATCTTGATTTCCCAAAACTTTTGGTAGGGTCAGAAAATTGCGCACAATAAGTTCAAGACGGTAAACATTCAGTCACCACTGTTTGATGGTCTTACGTTTTATTTAAGTAATCTATCTAAAGTCAGGATAATCCAGTCATTTCCACAGGCTGCACGTTGTCCTAATAGGATGCCGGAATGTTCAGTACTGGAATCTCTGACCTTGTCCCCTGCATAAATGGATTTTTCCTTTAAAATTTAATTTTTTCCCTGGTGATCCAGCGCTTTAGAGAGTAACCAGCCACATGAATAATAAGCCAGCGTTTCAGTAGGATCTGACTCGTTCCCGAGGTCGGTAAGTCAATCCTGGACAAACCTTCGACTTTAGTGTCTAAAGTGGCTCATATATAACATGTTACAATCACAACATATGACTTGAATAGCATGCATTAGAAATCTAATTAGTGGGAATACATTTCGGTGTTTCGGTTCCCTATGACCTAAATCTTACACTGGCAAAACTGTGTATGCAATGGTCGTTAAAGGTGTGTGTTTGCAACACACTTTTGAGCAGGATGACAAAACAGTTTTCCACCTTTTTTTATGGCCAATTTACAGAATATAAACAGTGTTTTTCCCTCCTCCACAACAAACTCTGGTGAGTCTCAAAAGGACAATCACGAACTAACTTAGAGGACCTAAGTTCAATCCTTCTGAATAACTCATCTACTTTTATCATGTACCAAAGTCTCTGTCCAGAATAATCTGCGATTCGATGCCGCCCGTTTAGCGAAAGCTTTCTGTATCCCTCTAGTAGTGATTTGAGACCTGTTATGATAATGCCTGATATGTCACTTCGTGAACGAAATCTCATCAGAATTATTACGACGAAATATTACTGGACATGGTGTCCCGGATAACACAGGCCCTGACAATACAGACTGCGGCGTTTAGGGTTAGGGGTTAGTATAGCTGTTTAAAGCTTATGAACATATTGACCCGAAAAATGGAACAATTAGCTACGAAAGGAGGAAACCCTAGACCCTGGACAATGACTATAACCCACCCATCTTCCCGAATGGCAGCTACCATTATTGGAGCATTGCGTGCGCAGACACTAATACCAACTCAAATGCATTCGGACAGGCCATATGATGCAAGAACTAAGCACAAAAGTTGCTGTGACTGACCATTTTACTTATGAACAGTTTAGAACAAGAAGAAACGTGGAAGAGATGAGGACTAATAACTCAAGCAAGCAAGAAGCCAATATACGAAGGTGATAGATAAAGATAGGCTTCATTAACAGAACAAGTCGGTCGAAAAATGTGCCCCCAATCTTAAAAGCTTATTCCATCACACAGCCTCTCTCCAATAAGCCAAAACGAGGGTTTCCCGGTAGTTAGGTCATTATGGCCCAATAAACAACGATATAACAATGCTTTCAAACAATTAAACCGTCGCTTTGAGACTACATAGATGAAACCTTTGTCTGAAAGTCAACAGGAGCATCAGCATTGAACCTTGGGTACTGGTTTGACGCACCGGAAACTGCAGTATTTTAACAACGGCACTTCTACTGGCCAGTTTATGACTCATTCTGTTGCACTTGGAGTAGCTGATTCGATCTTAGTAACACCACCTAGCGTGATTTTTGAGCATTTACTTTGCCATAACTCTGTTTACGACAATCGCCTATTCTTAGAGGAAGCCGACACAATGAACCTTAAAGCTACCTGTTGGAAGCACTCTCTCAATGCCCTAAAAATTGGTGGAGTCTTTGATATGAGGTGATTTGACTGAATACGTGTTAGCCATAAACGTATTTTCACCCCGAAAACATTGAGTCAGAAAGGATGACATATCTAAATAACAGATAGTTTAAAGTAAGGGTAAACTTAACTTTTCACTTGTTATATAGTGTTGTAGTAGGTTTCCTCAGGGCTGAACACTAGAAATCCTTCTCTTTTTGATTCAAATACATGACCTACCTCATCAAGCATTGTATGATTCATAATTTTTCATAGACAGTGTGAAACTTTGGGAAGAACTTTTCGACCAAGGTGACAAGCCGTCATTCCAGGAGAATCTGGCTCGACTTCGAGTTTCGGCGGATTAGGACGAACTTGTTTTCAACACTTCTAAGTGTAAAGAGATTTATCTAAGACAGTTTTTAGACTATGCATAAAGTTTAGTTAACTCCCCTCTAGGAATATCCCAAGTTGGAAAAGATCTGATCTAAAGTCTTGCGCCGGCAACGTTGGAGCACATTTTTGGCAAGTTTGACAGTAGAAATTTGCATCTAATTTTCGTCAGTTTTATTCGACCACATTTAGAGTGTGAAAATATTGTAGTTACCCCTCACTTCACAAGGAAGAGGACGCACTTGAATTCATCCAAAGGTGAGTCACGAAGTTGTTAGGAGACTTAAACTCAAACCTTGTGAAAATCTCTCCGAACCTCTGAAACCTTGCCTATCAAAATATAGGCGGCTCACAGGTGATCTCATGATTTATAACATCCAAAACACTTCTAAACACCCCATTGAATAGCTAAGTGAGCTCGGCGTTAACACAAAATTTGATGATATCACCCACAAATTTTGGATACAAAAGATCAGAACGAACTGTAAGCACACCTTTTACTCCTTAACAGTTGTCGAATGCTGGAATTTGCTGCCGGCTGAGCTAGTCCAAACGACATATCAGTGGACCTTTGAAAGAAAATTTGATCTACACCTAGGTAATAAAAACAGTATGTCACTACAATTTATTGATACTTCTCCTTTATTTGTCACATATACCTAGGTCTTTATCTGAAGCCGCCAGTGACCCACTAATTCTAGATATTGAAAATCGTTGTGCGAAGACCTATTTTGTTTCGTCCAAGACCATTTGAAATATTAGATACACAATCTCCCGATGTTGGAGTAAATTTTATCAGATTTGGGAAGAACGTTGGAGGAACTGTGATGGAAAATCTCGAATTATTTTTGAACAACCCTGAAAACCTTTGATGAAACGTTTTCACTTTGTGAAAAACTGCGAATTTTTGTGACCTATTGGATACCCAAAACTTTCACTAAATTAGAAAATTTAGGTAAATAGTTTAAACGACTGTCTTCAACGGAGAGCGGTGACGATTGTTTTTTGAAAATTATTTCAATTAATCATTACCTTTAAAGGTAATATTTAGTATTTTTACATGATATTTTGTATTGTATATTGTGACCTTGAGGTCGGCGGCCTTTTAACTGTGCCTCCAGTAATCGTCACCGTCGGTCTTTACTTGCCGGTCAGTTTCACGTGAGTGGTGAACATCGATTGTTTATATAGTATCGCCATATGTCTCTCGTATTTTCGAAGCAAAATTATTCTGCTCCACATAATAGTGATCAGGAGCTTGTTAGACAACTGACTGACTTGATACGACAAAATGTTCCATATTCCAAAAGACTTGATGTTTTGGGCATATTGTCTTACACAACAGATAATGGGTGCGAAAAGTTTATAAAGATTGATTCCTCATTCTCCGCTTCCAATGAAGGAGCATCTGAAAATCTTAAGAATCTCTCCGATTATTCCACACTAAATTCTGTTAAGATTTCTGCTGACCATAATCCAACTAAAACTGAAGCTACTGATGATTATTCACAGGATATTGAAAGTGAGCAGCATAGCTCTACTCACTCTCCTGGTGCCTCACCTCCTTTATTACCACCATCGATTATCCAGGTTGGCAGGGTTGGTCGAACAGATGAAAAACCTGATCCTAACGAGTCTGAATACGCTTTAGTCACCCAGCCTTCTGATGTATTTCAATCAACAGAATGTGACGCAGATGATAATGCCTACCGCCGTTGCCGCAGGAAGTGTCGAAATCCTAAGCGCCAAGTTTTTGACTCGGATTCACACGCTGGAGATAGTGATGTCGAAGATGTTGCTACTGACGTTGAAGATTCAGTTCAGACATCTAAATCTCAAGATTATATAAATATCGCTGCAAAGGTCCCTCGAATAGATCCACAGGTCATTGTTACTGTCTCTGACTCTTGTATAAAGGAAATTCCATCAGTTACAAATTCGAATCCTGATATTGATATGGTATCTATTTCTTTAAGTAGTAGCTTACAGGATGTTCCTCCCTCACCTTCAGTTTTATCTGCATCCCCAACAGCTACCAGTGTTTCTTTTGTCCCCATGCATTATTCTACTGTTAATAGGTATTTAAGTCCACAAGTTACATCTAGTGACGTCTCGGCGTTGGTGAACAACCAAATAAGTTCTGGCACAAAGTATGCCATTTCAGCGAAATCTTTGGGTTTGGGCGATATTGGGGACCTCTGTGGGATTCTACCGATAAATGCTCTCCTGGGAAAAACTCTCATATCCGGAAATGATACAAATGGGTCTTCCAAATTGCTATTTGCTAACAATATTGGTACAGCAGTTTGTCCAAGTGCTTCAGAAACGGTCAATCCCTCAGGGTTTACTCAGCAAATGACACAGTGTATTAGTTCTTCATCTTGCACAAATCAGAATCTTATATTAAACTCAAACTTAGCGGCTGCTGTTGCTGCAGCGATTTCTAACTCTTCATTTTCACTGTCCAGTAATAGTAATCCAGTTGCTAACAATGGGTCAAATCTAACTACAAGTATACCTACATTGAATACTCCTTCAATAGCCTTAACAGGGCCATCCGGAGAGATTCTGGGCACAATACCAATAGCGTCTGCTAACTCATCTCAGAATATTATTTCTTCAGCCTTAGGAAGTGGTGTCGTTCAGCCTTGTTCCATAAATAATTCTCTGACAACAGTTAGTGTTACGCTACCAGCTAATCCGATTACTGGTTCTTCGACAGGCTTGGCAAACACACTGAACTGGCTACGTTGTGCCACAGCTACAGTGGACCCTAATTCACACCACGTCATCAACAGTTTTAATCCAGGTGCTAATGCGTCATCGTTTTCCGTAACATCAGGCAATCCTGTCGCTCTTCTTCAATCTTTAGTCACGCAACAACAGCAACAGGGAGTACAAGCTCAGATACAAAAACAACAACCATTGCAACCGGCATTTTCAGTGGGACCTACTTTAGCTTTAATTGGGACCTTAGGACTTAATTCTCCAGCAACATGTTCAGTTACTGGACAACATCCATCAGAAACAACATTTTCATCTAATACAGGATTGTCGACTGCTGTGTCAACAGTTTTACCCAGTACGTTGCATAATAATGCTCAGCCAGGTCCGTTAATAACAACGCAGCCTTAGTGGCTGCTGCCTTGCTACGGAGTTTGACTAATGTGAAACAGTCAAACCAAGAAATAACCGATTCCAATACCATTGATGCGAATTCGTATAATCCCCCAGCATCTCTAACATTGATTACAAACAGCATTCCTTCCTCCGTCAATGTTGTTGCCTCAACAAAGGCAAATATAATTGGTTTTGATGAATCGGCAGGCCATGGGAACAACATATTGACTAATAGGATTGTTCAATCAACTCTTAACTTAAATGGTGTTATTACTTCAAGCCAGGCACCGACTGTTTGTCACACCGTTTCTACTCCAACACAGAATATTCCAACTCGCAATTCTATTATGCTATCTTATCCCCGTGGAGGAACAGAAATGAATCTCTTACTAACTCCAGCATCTGCGCATGCATTTGGTACATCTCATTTAACTCCTCTCACAGCTGTCCCTGCAGCATTGTCCTTCCAGGGTTTACCTACATCGCAGTCTGCAAGTCTAACATTAACTTCACCTGTGTTACTCCAAACTCCAGTTACATCCACAGTAATCCAGACTACAGGAGCTATTTCCGAAATTACCACCACAACTAATTCGTATATGGTCCCATCTACCACTTCATTCGACCAAACATCACATAAAACTGATAAAACTTTGACTTATGTCACGGAAAGCACTTCAAAAGTTACATCTAACTCCAGTCAAACTCCAACTTCAAGTTCTGATCCTACTACATCTGCTATAGACAGAATTCTCCAGACCATAAAAGGGTGTATGAGTGCTAATGCAAATCGAGAGTCAGACAATAAACTAAAAATACGCAAAAACGAAAGCAACGGAACATACCAAACCATCACAGGTGATGAGGTCAATAGTAATCGTGCTAATGATACTAAAAAGGCAACTGGAACTAGATTTCCTCCAGCAAGTAAAAATAATATGTCACTTGAGAATGATTGTGTTTCTCGCTCAGCGACTACAAATGATCGGTTACCTCTCCCACCACTACAAAAAAGTACTGGAGAGCCATCGGAAAGTAGTCCGTCAACTCCCATCAACAAGTTTTATCGATGCAGATACTGTGGGAAAACGTTTAACCGAAAATTCTGTCGTGAACGACATGAAAGACTTCATACTGGTGTGAAACCTTATTCCTGTGAACTTTGTGATGAGAAATTTATTCGTCTTGAAGATAAAAAGCGACATGTTAGATCGCTACAACATTACTTTTCCAATAGAGGATCTCTGAGAACCAGTGGATTAGATGATCAGATCGATGTAGGTACGGGTCTAGGTGCTGAACCATCCAGTGTGCTGCCACTGCTGGCACAAACACTTCAAGGAGGAACGAATGTAGAGACTTATGAAAAGGAAACTGAAGAGTTGTGTAATGGAACAGATGAGCAGAATTTAAGTAGTCATTTAAGTGAAAATGAATCAGAAAGTGCTGCAGCAGTTGTAGAGTTCGACAGTGAATCACGTGATCCAGAAGAAAATGAGCACTGTAATGATGATACAAAAAATGCCTCGCATTTAACATTAAGCGACGGAAACCATATCATCCAGAAGGAAGATACAGAAGATAAATTACGAGAGATGAAAACCAAATTGGAGGAACCATCGGATGATCTTTTAACTAATCTCCGCCTAACATCGAAAATACAATTCAACAAAACTAGATGTCGAGCAGCTTTAAAAGAAACTCAAACAGCTGTAAATTCGTCAAATGAAAACTGCTGTGAACTAATTAAAGTACCTAACGTTGTTCTTTTTACTACTGATAATGCTACTGATTCAAAGACTACGACCAACTTATAGCTTCTTATAACAATTATTTTTGACTGACGCTTTATGTAGCTGTGCCATGCTGGTCACATTTGTTTAATTAACTTTCTTATGATCTGTACAGCTGTATAAAGTGTTTATTATCATCTCTTATGTAAGTATATTTACTCGATTGTTTAAAGGACATTACTTTCACCGGATATTATTTTAACATAATATGATAATTTGTTGTACAAACGCAGAGAAATTTCTTTAGTTCTGTCTTCGTAATTTGTCACAATGTAATCACTGAAAAACATTCCAGAACCCAAATGTTTCCAAAAGTGTTCAGCCTACCATCAACTAACTTTTATTTTGTGTTGTCTTTTGTTCGAATTTGTTTTGAAGTCAACATTTCTATGTATATCAGTTATATATTTATTAAAAACCACTATATATTAGTGATGTGTACATTTAAATTCTGCTATTTTACGTGCTTGAAATATTCATTAGTTACATCAAAAACAGGCTATATTTAACTATCTTGGTTTTTTCTTTATAGCTAGTATAGCTTTGTTTACGCTAATCTTGTAATAAGATTGTATCATATATTTGGTAGGTTGCTGAGTAGAGTAACTGGTTGTACGAAAGAACCTACTTCTTACGATCACCTTTATTAACCGAATATTGCTGGCGCTTATGATGAAGTAGTGAAACTTCATCAGTTGAGATGGCTGGGACACATGTTACGTATGCCCAACGACCGACTGCCTCGACGTGCTATGTTCAGTGGTATGGGAGTAGGTTGGAAGAAAGCTAGGGGCGGCCAAACCAAAACATGGCACAAGTCCATGAAGTCACTGACAAGTGAACTGAGTCATGTTGGTAGGTGTAGACTACCTGGTTGGGGACCGCGAGATGATAGCAACCGATGGTTAGAGACCTTGAATGACATGGCTCAAAATCGTTTGCAATGGCGCAGGTGCATCCACTCTCTGTGTTCTCCCAAATTCTAATCTTCTGAATCCTTCATGTCCCTTTTTTCCTCTTTCCAAATTTATTTCACTGGATTATACTCTTTAAATAGCATCTCCAAACCCTAATCTTCCCGATTACTGCTTATACTCTTATTACCTCTACCACTACGGGATTTGAATCGACAACTGCATCTCTGTGCTAATGTGGTGTGGCAACTCGAACTGATGTACGTACGTACGAAGTTCTACGTTGTTACTGACTGACTGACTGGCGCTTATAACAACAATGTCTCAACCCAATATTTTAAACTATTTGGTCGTCTTCCATTAGTTGTTGTTGTATAGTGATGTATTCTAATGGTAATATTAGTGGTTTCTGATGAAGCCCGTAAACTGAATTAAGACAAACACGGTGGTGATAGGGAAAAACTAATTGTTGAAAGTTATAGACTTTACGAAGCGATAGGTACTTTAATCTACCTTGTGTTTTATGTATGAAATCTGACAAAGTTATCAAACCTTCAGTCTTTTCCATCAAATATCGCGATAAAACTTGTACTTAGTTATTTAAGTTGTGAATCTTAATGTGTACTGCTTTGAGTTTACGCATCGCATTTCTACATCCCCACTAATTCGTGAATTTCTAGTCATAAATTTTCAGTCGTGGTTTGTTCATACCAATAAGAAACATACAAGAAACCAGATGTTGAGTTGTTGATAGGCATTCTGTTAGTGATTGAAACAAACAATCTTGTGATTGGGGGAGAACAGTCCGCAAGTTAGAAGAGCAGAAGACTACATCTACTCAAAGTTTCGCAAGATTATCTAAAGTCACTTACATCCAAATCTTAAATTGATGCTCAACTTGATCGAACAAAGCTTATAGTTCATTTATCTGTTCATCGAGCAACTAAATCTTGTCCACTGAATACAGCCAAGACAATTTCTTGCTTCATTGTGTTATGAGTTCTACCCAGATTATCAACTCAATCTTAAGTGATTGTCTGTAAAGTTTCATCAACTAAATGATTAAATAACTCAGCCTTTAAACAAATTTTTTCGAACATTGCGGAAACAGTTATTATGGTTGATTCAAGGTTCATAATAGCCTATGACTAATTGGTGGCATTTAAAAATGAGTGTAATTAGGCTAATTTCCCTAACTATCTATGATTTCCATGGTCTTAGTGCGCTGTGTTTTACTTTATTGAACGACCCATAAGTATGACAGAATATGGATGCATCTTAAAACTAGGCAATGGCATAAATGTTTATCGTAGGTGTCTACCGACCGCCTGTATAAAAGTCGGTTCTAAAGGATAAATGTACCTATCTGAAATTGGACCATACTAGTCACTTGTGTACATTCCGAAAGTAATAAAGGGAGATAACTCAGTTCCAGTGGACACGGAGAGTCCACCTAGGAGAGTTGGGAAACCTTGATTCCAAACCAATGGTGCACATGGACTGGCTCCAGGATCCTGAAGGAACAAACGGCGTATGAACCTGTTGTTGGTCACCGGCTACCATGCGACTGCATCTCCTGACGTTGCTCCACTACCTTGTGGACCAGACCTTTAGGTCGAAGGCTCCGGGTGTGGCCCCCTAAGAAAACCATGTGCCTCGATCCGGGCACCTTTGCAGTATCCCAGCCCTCGCACAGATCGAGTGATTTATGTGGCGCATATCTATTTGATGCCTCTTTGTACCAATGTTTGTGTTTAAATAAAAAAATGAAAACCTTATCGGTACATATTTCTCAATCATTATTAAACTTAAAGTATTCATGCTACGACAATATCTAGTTTGTCTAGTCACTTCTCACTCAGCGCTCGAAGTATGAGTCAGCATAAGCCCTATGAATAGATGAGGCAAACAAATATACAGAACGCCAGTTTCGTTCCAGTTACTACTTGTCAGCTGGCTGAATATCTATCCCTGTGAGTGCCCACATTATTTATATCAGCACTAAGACTTTGTTCTAAATGTTAGAAAGTTATCTACTTATTTAGGTTAGGTATTCCATATGGATCAGCCATAAAATTAATTTTGGACTTGTGTTGTCTTATAGTTGATTTTTCGAGGTACGAATCTATAAGAGATGCCGAATTCCATAGAATACCCTGGCCAATAGACTTTGATGAGTAGTAGGACCTGCTGCCACTCGAATAGTTAGCTCAATAATACTTCCTTTTTTAATCTTCAGTAGTTTCATTCTGTAGACTGATAGTCAACATAAACCAAATGACTCATCTAAAGATTGGCATGGCCTCGTTCCAAGTTGCAATAATGTCTAGTAATAAATGGTCTGTTACCCTTCCAATGAAATATCCTGAATTTTTAATGTAGAATACTGGGCGATTAACACCAATGCGTAAGTGTGAGTCAGACAGTTTTTAGAGTTATTCACTACAGTCGTGACAAAACTAAAATCCCGTTCTAATAAACCCTACTAATTCTATTCTGCAATACAAATGTCGAAGCTTGTGTTACAAACGGTACTAATGTTGAATAGTTTGACGACCAACGATTTTGATTGACTATGTTTGAACAAACGTTTGTTAGCTATTACGTTCTTTTATAACCATTTATATACGGCTTCGTATCATCCGTTAATCATACATAAAATAATTTGCGGGAAATAGAACGAGCCTAATGGATAAGAATGTATCAACGAAACGTTATTATTCACCTTTAGTTATTGAGATCAAAAAGTTAGTTTATCCTTAGAATGCAGTAAATTAAAGTGCACATGTCCATATAAAGCTTATCTAATTAGGAAACTGAAAGATACCGCATTAGTTGAGGACTTATTCGACAAATACTGGTCAAATTAGATCACGTATTTTTCGGATTAGATAACTTACGTAAGAAATGAGTAATAAATTCATTTGCCGAAAGGTGTTCGTGTAACTGTTTAACAAGACTACAATCACATCGGTCTAAGTTCCTCAATAACATAGGAATAAATTCATGAACATTTTTAGCAAATTTAGATGTCTAGTTAGTGCGAAAAAAACCCCAGAATAACTGCTATATTAACAAATTTCTAACTAAAACAACTTAGAGCTAAAAGCCTTCATTTAATCGCAAAACAGCATTGTCAACATGTATGTAATATTGATACGGAATTATAAAAAAACATCAAAACCATACAAACTTATTTATTTAATTTATGATAAAAATTAAAAACATATACTTCCAAAACTTCGTATACTACTATCTATTCGTACATTTATTAGTAGATGCTGTCAATAAAAATACAATATACTAACCTTACACAAAAGAACGAGGAATAGTGTAGTAAAAAAGGATATAACCTGCCATCTCAATCATTAGTAGTAGTAACTAATACAAAATACTACAAATATTCAATCATATCTAAATGTACTAATAATAGGAGAAAAATGGTTATATAAATAAGAAAACACTTCGTGTATAATACACCAGTGGTAGAAGAAATACATTAGGATGAAAGAAATGTATCAATGAAGAAGTGAATGGTGAAAACCAACAGGATAGAACTAAGGAATATTGTGTCATGATGATGATGACGACGTCGATATAATGATGATGAAGAAGAAAGGCAACCAACTGTTAATCTCTCCTTTTAAAAAAAGAATAAATATATGAAAATTGTAACTAACATGAAAGAGGAAAATAACTACACATATATCCCGTATTCTTTTCTTTATTTATTCTAAACAAAATTTTGTTCATACTCAGTAATTTCCAGTGGTTATTCTTTGACATTAATAACCGTATCATGTATAGCTTGTGCAATATGGTCAATATTGTTTGTAGTTAAAGCGCACATATTAATACGACCGTCATGCATAATGTATAAATGATGTTTTGTTTTCATATATTGTGTTTGGGTAGCTAATTTGTCAAGGGAGAAAAAAGAATAAAAAAATACATTAAGATTCTGTAATAATAATAAATATTGGATATATTTACAAACTCTTCCATTAATTGATTATGATAAAGATGAGCAGACGCTAGTTTATTCAAACGATAATATTGTTAATTCAATTGCTGAAGCTCAGACGGGGTTTTGTGGAAATTTTTAGAAATTTCACTGGTTGAAATCATGAGTCAATTGAAGCTAGACTACCATGGAAAACCTGGGAGCACTGGACGGCCGTTTCGTCCCAGTATGGGACTCCTCAGCAGTGCGCATCCTCCCTTCCTATATTACTTGACGTATAGATCATGTAGATCTACTGAATCAACAATATACATATTTTACGAAATAAAATTGTTTTTAAAAAATTTGCAATAGCTATTTAATTGTATAAGGGTTAACAATATTACTTAGTTGTTGAAACTGAAATAAGTAGACTGGAAATCGAACCTGCTATCCAGTTGAAACTAAACTTTTAAGTACACTATATTGCCATTAACTGTATTCAATACTAATGACAGTTAATATCAATTCTATTTAACTTGAAAATGAGAGAGAAAAAACATTCCTAACTGATAAAATTTATTTCACATTAATGACTGAATTACTTGTGATGAAAAACTCACTATTTATAGAAATTCATTGTTTTAACTGTGAAACAGATTGAAATTATATTTCTTGAAGAATAATAATAGTTTATACTTTTTTTCCATCGAACCGAAACAAAAAGAATGAGAGTATTATTTCACCAAAATGATGATAATCAGTATATCTTGTGATCGTTTCCTTTTGTTGTTGTTTGATTATATTTTCCTTGAAAAAGCTTGAAACAGATTGCCAGGCGAAACGTTGGATTTACTTCAAATTCTTTCGCTGAGATTTTACAAATACATTCTTCCTATTTAATGTCTCACATTAACTCGACGCCCAAATATTGTGAAACTATTCGTTCAAATTTAGACAAAAGTTCTTATTTAAGTTTCCTTTTTTTTCCAATATCTACCAGATGTATAAAGATCTGGTTTGTCAAATCAGGTCTATTCAAGATAGTATAATAAATGATGAATCAAAATATAATGACAAATACTTATAGTATGTGAGCATAGATTTTTCAAGTCGATGACCGTTTAGTGGGAACCAAAACAACAAGTAATAAAACCTGAAAACTATTCAGTATAAAATTAATAAGACTTGATAAAAATTCTCCTTCTATGTATATTCTTAAAATATTTATATCTGAACTATTAACAAGCTGATGATCAGTGAACAATTAAAGTTTAAACAAACATAACATAAATGAGATGTTAGGTAGTAGAATCTCAGGGCTTATGAAAAATGGCATTTTAGTATACAAGTTAACAAACCTCATCATTTATAGTCAGTCATTTCAACAAAAAAACGTAGAAGCTAACACAAATGTGCATTTGTCTAAATCGCTACACCACATCAAGACAGCATATGAGAAATAACAATATGCATGCTAAATATACAGGAATAATAGTGGTGTTTATTATCAAGACGAGAGAGATAGGACAGAGAATGCGGTTCGAAAAGAACAAATAAAACTGAAGAATAAGGAGTTTGAAGCTAAAGTTTGAAAGAAAAAGTATCCCATAAGTCAGTGTTATTGAGATCAATTATAAATTTTGTTATTTAATGAATTTAATTATTGACTACCACTATCACACAGATCACAACCAGAAAGTTTGCACCCTAAATACAAAACAGATCCATAGTAAACGATTTTACGGATTAATGTCACATCCTGGTTTGATCGCTTCTAACCTTTTCAAAACCTACTCGTATGTTAGCCAGTGTTAAGTGTGTGAGTAGTATATGGCTAGGTATGAGTAGTAAATGTCCCAATCACAAGACGATATAGACATTAAACTCATGCATTCATTCTGAATCTGGCCAGAGAAAGAGTAGTTCATCATTCAACAATCCTAAAAATATGTGGTTAATATCCTCCAACTGCAAGCCAATAAATAAAATGACAGAAACAGTAATAAGATTTAATGCCATGAGAAAATATATGAAATTCAAACACGCAATTGTCTAAAAGACACAATCTAAATGCAGTTCGTATCCCGTTCTTTAATATTTTAAACCGAGTTTTCCTATTTTGTGCCTATAGATAATGATGATTAGCTTGCAACTTAAGTATTTACAGTTCAAATTAACAACTCTAAAAATTCGTCCTATTCTCATCAGCATCCAAAATGGTTGTTCAAATCAATTTTTAAGTGTATGTCTATAAATGTAGCACCCGTGTGTAAGTAGTCTGTATACATATTTGGTATAATTATATGCTTCCTACAAAGGCACACCCATCATTTCTGGTTAAAATAGTCCCACTCTATAAAACTAAAACTACTTTTCATTTCAGCTCATTTTCAATCTATAAAAATTTGTGATTGGTCAATTTTGCTTAAGCATCATTATGATAACCGGGCAGAATGTTACATGATATATACACAACGCCACGCCAAACCACGTGAATGGCACGAATCGATCAGAATAAATAAATAGAGCAGTTTCTCTTCTGTTTTCCTATCAGAGAATACCAGTTTCTCTGTCTTTCCCACTCTACTACTTTTGTTCATGAGACAAGTTCATTGATTATTTTTTTATCCCTTTTCATATTTATCCCATACACCCACACACAGATTTGTTTTTACTTGAGCGCTAGAACAGATGACCTGTGCTCTCCCCAATACTGATAAATAAATGGAAATTTCTTGGAATCCTATCCTACCTACTCACTCACTCACTCTAACACAGCTTCCAAATAATAAAACTAAACTTATATTACTGCTTTTCACATAATATATAACATATATATGTGTGTGTGCTTCCATCCAACCATTGCTAAAACAGAATAAGTGAAAAATGATCCTATGTGTTGTATGCATACAGTAGCATCATTTAGTGTGTGAGTCTATACGGTATGTCTGCAATGTGAAATAGAGAGGTTAACGCTTCTCTACGTTATAAAGCACTTCTTTTTCCTATCCTCGTGAGTACTCACACTATACGCTATACTCTCGCTATATTTGTTGTATATGTTCATTGACTAACTACTACCTCTCTCTCTCTCTCTCTCTCTCTATATATATATATATATATATATATATATATATATATATATATATATCATTAAGTTCCAAAGTATAGGCAACTACTTATAAAAATCAAAGGAGTGTAAAAGCTTACAAATTAATTGGTGCTGTTGTTCTTTCTCATTTATTATTGTTTTTTAAAATACGTTTACATATATCATCATGATAACAGAATTATGCTTGTTGTTAAATAAAATAGATTTACAATATTCTCTTTTTTTACTAAATAGAATGATGATTTTAAAAGAAACCACTAACTGAACATGGCAACAACAATAGTGAGTAGCAGAAATGTATTTTTCTTAGATCTTAGAACTATATAAGTTAACTTACATCATGAAATGAACATAAATGTTTTAAAACAATAGAAATTACAATTAATGACTATGAGAAATTATTAAATAACCCTCCAGCTCAGAGAACAAAACACCATCAAAATCATCCACCTGAGCTACAAGTCTTCTCCACAAGCTCAAAATATGCACATTTCAAATAATAGTCTTATTGTTATTTCATCAGAAAATCTTCCCCTGTCTAATAATCTGACTAGAAATCTATGCTGGTGTCTACTAATTTCATACATTTTCTTAAGCCAGTTATATTTGTTAAACAAAAACTCAGAGTTAACAAAAAAGGTACCGAAAAGTGAAGTAAAAAAATACTTTAGAAGGATTGTATTTCAAGTACACTATAATAATTGACTCCGCCTGTAGCTCTTCTAGGGTAACTGCCGGTCCCCAAACCGGGTAAAGGAGGAAGGTTAGGCATAGGCTTGGCGACCACATGTCGTAGAAAATAACTTTACGAAAAAATGCTAACCAAAATAAACAATTTAAATACTGCCCTCCGTGTTGAGGGAAGAATCATGATGCCTCATGGAGAAAGCCGATATTCTTCGGAAGTCACGAAGCCTATGCCCCTTCTAAGAACCAGAGCAACAATTAATATGGGCACACGGAATGTTCGAACAATGTGGGAGACCGAGAGGATCAATCAAGTAGCTGCCGAAATGAGGAGATACAACTTGACGATGCTCGTAATCAGTGAAGCACATTGGATCCAAGTCGGACAGAAAAGGATAATTTCGGGAGAGATTTTGGTGTACTTTGGTCAAGAGGAGGAAACTGCTCCGCATACTCAAGCAGTCACCCTGATGCTGTCCAAAGAAGCCCATAAAGCACTTATAGGATGGGAATTTGGTGGATCCAAGATCATCAAAGCATCTTTCAAAACAAAGAAAGGAATCCCAATGAATTTTATCCAATGTTATTCACCCATCAATGATAGCAACAATGACGATAAAGATCATTTTCACGAGGCTTCAATCGATCGTAGAGAAGTGACCAGGAAAAGATCTGACCATCCTGGTTGGGGACTTAGACGCTGAAGTCGGAATGGACAACAACGGATATGAAGACAACATGAAACGACATGGACTGACTGGGAGAAAGAAACGAGAATGGTGAGAGATTTGCAAATCTATGGACATTTGTGGTGCCGTAATCTCTCTCCGATTTGATTGTGTGGTCAAAAACTGAGTTGTTTATCGACTGAATTTAAAAGAAACATAAATATGAAGTAAAGCTTCAGAATTGTTTAACTATGATATTTCATTAACTTACACAGTTATTTGACTATTTGTTTTTTATTATGAAAAGAAAACATATTTCCCTATTTCCTTAACCAAAATAAATCGTCATAACATAACTAACACAGACTAATAGTAACAATGATATCAAAAAAGTGGACTTATAAGTTAATGGTACGAAAAAATGTTAGTAATCAAAAGAGGAAATGGTAAGGATAATGTGAGACTGAAACATTCCGTGGTCAAAGTGTTAAATATACAGTTG